AAGACAATATTTTATCTTGTTCTGTTCAGCAATAGCTTAAACAGAATGGTAATTATATTTTCTTTGAAAGTTTAAAAGAAATTGCCTAGAAAAAAATCCTTTGGGTTGAAACCCTTTTTGAGCTAAATCTTTGACAATCTTCGTGTTTTATCCTGAAGTATTAGATTTTATCAGGTATTCTATTTCCTGTTGAGTTAATTTTAGTAGTTTATATTTTACTACAAATAGATTTGTTTGTTATAATTAACAATTTACCATACTAGAGTTTTAAGACATTCTTTTCCAAAGTTAAACCCAAAGTCCCTTGCTCATTCGTAAATGTGGTGTATATTTATATTTCTTCTTCTAAAACTAAAAAGAAGTTTATGTATTTGATGTTATTCCTTTTTTTTTTTTAGCAACAGTGACAAACAACAGTTGAGTTTGTCATTTGAACTGTTACTGTCTTTATTGAAAATAATGTCTATGCTTAAGTATTTACCATAAAGTGCTGAACCCAGTACTGTGCTCATCTATTGACACACATTATCTCATCTGTTTGCAACAACCCTAAGGGGTGCATTCTCTTAATCCGCATTTTACATAGCAGAAGACTAATTATTAAGGAGGCCGACTAACGACCCCTCTTCTAGAGAGTGGGGAAACTGAGATTCAGCTCCCAGCTCTCTGTCTCCTAGCCTTGAGCTCTTCATCTTACCATGCCGCTTTTTCCCTCAATTTGTTTTTCACGTTTTCCTTTGATTACTTTGTGCTGTTCTTAATTCTTGAGTTTAATGTTAACTTTCATTTTTCTTATTTATTAATAAAGCCATTTATGGCTACATATTTACTTCCAACTCCTGCTTTATTATCCTATGTTTTGCTATGTGGAATTCTCCATGTCATTTTTACCGAAGAGTCTAAAGCTGCATTTTCTACTTCTTTTTGACCTGAGTTATTTAGGAGAATTTTCTTTTTCCAGTAAGTAAGGTTTTTTGTATTGTTGTTTATATATTTGTAATGTCAGTTTTATTGTGTTGTGATAAAAGTGTTATATTTACTATTTCTACATTTTGGAATTTACTGAGTTTTTATTTGCTATTAACATAGAGTTTGTTTTCATAAATATTCAATAGATTTTTAAAAGATGATGTATTTTCTGTGGGTGAGCACTATTGTACCTATTCAATATTTTTTTAATGTATTTTTGAATTCTTCCTATACTAGATTTGTCAAATATTGTCATGGGGTGAACTGTTTCCTAAGAAAATTGACTTTCTGGCCAGGTGCAGTGGCTCACGCCTGTAATCCCAGCACTTTGGGAGGCCGAGGTGGGTGAATCACCTGAGGTCAGGAGTTTGAGAACAGCCTGGACAGCATGGTGAAACCCCATCTCTACTAAAACACAAAAATTAGCCGGGCGTGGTGGCATATGCTTATAATTCCAGCTATTCAGGAGGCTGAGGCAGGAGACTCCCTTGATCCCGGGAGGCAGAGCTTGCAGTGAGCAGAAATCATGCTGCTACACTCCAGCCTGGGCAACAAGAAAGAAACTCCATCCCAAAAAAAAAAAAAAAAAAAATCAAAAATTGGCTTTCTGGGACTATCCTTTTGTTTTCAACAATTCTTGTATTATTTATGTCAATACTATGCTATTTGTTTACAGAAAGCTGCATTATTATTATAGCTACATTGTGGCTATATATATTTTATAAATATAAAACGATACTCTCCTGTCATTCCTAATTCTTTTAGTCTTAAACTTTGAAGTTAATATTGTCAACTCTATTCTTTTTGTTTGAATGTTTGTATATATTTTTGTTTATTCTTTTGCTTTTAGCCTTTTTTTCACTTTCACTTGTGGACTTTTAGCCTGTTTATATTCAATTCTGAATATGATGCTTGCAGATAGAATACAGTTTGATTTTTTTCGTTAAATTTGAGAGTCATTTTGTTAACAAGAAAGAGGAACACATTTGTGTTTTCTATTTGTTTCTTGTATGTTTGATTTTTCTTCTATTGTAGGATTCTATTATTGTATAATTCCTCTCTTTTTAAATTTTTTTTTTTTGACTTTTCTCTTTTGGATTATTTTTTCATGTTTTTATGCTCTTTATGTATTGGGATTTACACACAATGTTGTTGTTTTCTTTTCTGATGCCTCTGCCAAGGGCATCCATGAGATGCTGCTTAGCAACGCCCACCAAGCACACCACGCATCCTCTCAGGGAAGCTGTTCTGAATACTCCCGGCATCCAACACAAGGGGTCCTAAGGAAGGTGCTCCACTCTGTCCTACTGCCTATTCTCACTTCCAGCTTCAAATTGTGAGGAGGGGTGATTGAAATTCTCCCAGGGTCTCCTGCAATTATTCCCTAAGATTTTTTTTCCCCAGGAGTGTTGCTTGTAACTGATCTTTGATTGCTTCCATCAGTCTCCAAGCATGTAAACTATAGCATGATTTTATTTCTAAAAAATATTATCATGTGAATGGCATCCTTCCTTAGTCTTCTGCTGTAATGTAGATTTTCTTCTGTTTTTTAAAAAGTTTTATTTTATATTTTTTGAGACAAAGTTTCACTCTGTCGCCCAGGCTGGAGTGCAGTGGCGTGATCTCTGCTATTTCAGGGGAGACCTGATATGCATTGAGAAAGAGAATTACGTAGGCCGGGCACAGTGGCTCACACTTGTAATCCCAGTGCTTTGGGAGGCCAAGGCGAACAGATCACCTGCGGTCAGGAGTTCGAGACCAGCCTGGCCAACATGGCAAAACCCCTTCTCTACTAAAAATACAAAAATTAGCCGGGTGTGGTGGCGGATGCTTCTAATCACAGCTACTCTGGAGGCTGAGGCAATGAGAATTGCTTGAACCTGGGAGGTGGAGGTTTCAGGGACCTGAGAATGTGCCATGGCACTCCAGCCTGGGTGACAGAGTGAGACTCCATGTCAAAAAAAAAAAAAAAAGGGAGAGAGAGAAAGAGAATTAGAGGCCATTCCTCCAGTGTATGTATGTGTTTTTTACAAAAGTCTGGTCAATCTGCATTTAGAGTATCTGCAGGGCACCTAGAGACAGAGATCAAGACAATTAGTGTTTAAATATATGGATCTGAGACTTAGAAGAGATCTGAGTTAAAAATGTAAGTTTAGGAGACACCAACATGTAGTGGAAATCAAACCATGGAAATGGGGGAGACTGCCCTCAGAGCAGTAGTTCCAAAATCTTGCAGATCATCAGAACATGCAGGACCCTCAGTCCCACCCCAGAGATTCTAATTTACCAGGGCTATGGTGGCACCAATAATTTATACTCTCTTTTTAAAGCTTCCATTGAAGGCCTGGTATGGTGGCTCACACTTGCAATTCCAGCACTTTGGGAGGCCAAGGCAGGAGGATTGCTTGAGGCCTGGAGTTCAAGAGCAGCTTGGGCAACATAGTGAGCTACTGTCTCTACAAAAATTTTTTAAAAGGTTGGCCAGGTATGGTGGCACAGGAATGTAGTCCTAGCTACTCAGGAAGTTGCAGTGGGAGAATTGTTTGAACCCAGGAGGTTATGGTGAGCTATAAATTGCACCACTACACTCCATCCTGGGTGAGAGAGCCAGTCTTTGCCTCTATTTATTATTACTAATTAATTATAATAAATAAAGCTTCCACTTAAATATTTCTAAAATTGAATGTTAAGTGAAAAACTCATAGGACAATGCTCCCAGTATAGCACTATCTATGAAAGAAATTTTATGTCTATGGATATGTCTATGTTTGTGGGGATGGGAGCAGAGACAGCAACTGAAAAAGTGATGTTGAAGTCATGGTGAGGAAAGGGTGGGGTTGCTGATGACAAACATGCACAAAGTGAGGAGACAGAGACAGTTGGACACCAATGCACATGATTGTGGAATGTTCTCCTTGTTGCTCAGAAACCTGAGCGCAGACATGGAGATGATGGGTGGCTGGATCAATAGAGTTGGGTGAAGCAAAGGACAATAGTAGGGCACCAAGGGCCGGACAATCTGTGGCTATGTGACCGTAGCCCCTATCCTTTTGACTTTCTGCTCTCTGAACTTATTCCCAATACAGTTGCTCTTGACCTCAAGATCTCTAGTACCTTAGAGCCATCCAACCCTTAACCTGGAATCCAAGGGCTATACTCAGCCATCTCTTGCTACTGGCCCTCAGGAAATTCAGTAACTCAGTTTCTACTACTTTGTATGGCCCTTTGGTCCTACCCAGACTTTGTTTAATGAAGAGCTTGTTGCCCTAACAGCTAGGAGTGCTATCAGCACACAGACTTTCCCTGCTAGGCCCTTGGGGGTTTGCCTCTGCTGCACAGAGCTGCCCCATGCCCACTCCCTGCCCCAGAGGTCACACCCCTTCCCAGGCAGCCCCCATGCAATAACTGATAAAAGCAGAGTACAAAAGCCTGGCCCTCTCTGCCCTGCTTGGGACAACTCTCTGTAGGGTCAGCAGAGGCTGTCGTTGGGCCTGCATCCCAGCTCACTGCTTACCTCTGTGTTTCCTGTTTCTTCCCCTCCTTCCCTCAGGTGTTAATCCCCAGGGGATCATGCTAAACTTTGTCTCAGAGTCTGTTTCCCAGGGGACCCAACTTGCAGCAGCCCAGAAAGAAACAAGAGCCAGAACGTCCTGCTAAAGAAGTTGTATTACTTCTCACTTTTCCCAGAGACCCTCAAGTATTTCAGAGAACTGTCAGGCCCACCTGAAGCTGAGTTTAGGCATTTGGATTTCAGTGCTCAAGAGAGAGGGTTTTATCGAGGGCAGAGTTAAGCACAGTGGCCCTGGATTTGGAATAGGGATAACCAGCTGCCTAAGCTTTGCTGATGGTCTCCTTTTTCTCTGGCCATCCTTCTGAACAGAGAGGCTGGGTTAGGAAGTCCTGATCTTGAATCCTAGCTTTAAACAACTGTAGATGAGGCCACTGATTGAAATCTTCAGGCTCACATCTGATATGCCATTGCACCACAATTTTAGTGACTGAAAGTAAAAACATGACCTAGACGCAAGCAATTGAATTTGAGTGCTTTTATTTCAGGTTCATATTTTCCCATATATGTTTTCAGTTAGAATGAACAGTCAAAACATGTCAAGGAGCAAAATCAAGCCATTCATCAGAAAAACAATATTTTCATTGGTTTGTCAATATGATTAAGTATTATAGGTGTACTAACAAAAATGAAAAAAATCAGTATCTGTATATTCCAAATTTTACAAGTTTTTCAACTTCACATTTTAATTATTCTTTTAAATCCATACAATCACTATAGAAAGTAACTAAATATATGATTCAGGATATATTTCTTAATAAGGGTTTGAAAATTGGTGGCACTTAGTTTTCAAGTACTCATCTATAAAGATTTCATCTGTACTAACCATTTAATTAGAAAAAATATGCAAAGTAATGCTGTAATGGAAATTTCAAAGTATTTGATAGGGAGTACAATTAAAGTTTATACATTGAGAATAGAATATATTTCATTTCACTGGAGTATATGGTGTCTTCTAATCTAGTTAATATACTTTTCAGGCAGCAGCAAATTTAAGCCATATGTTATCAATGATCGCTCAGATCACTTTAAGTATATAATCTGTTACATTAAATAACCTTATTTAGGTAACTGCTTTGAACATTTTGTAGACTCAAGTACTTCTTAAAGTTTTGAGTTATTGATTTTTAAATCTGCTTTGTAGGTATAAGCATCTGAGGGGGCCAAGCATAATTATGTTCTCCAGCCTATTGGTCTTTTCCTTTGATAACCACCTGTGGTTACTATGCCAGCCTGTCAATAAGCATTTATTGAGATCCTGCTGTGGGGCTGAGACCTATACCAGGGCTGAGGAGCAAACACTCTGGAAACAAAAGATTATGTTTGTCTAGAGAAGTTTACAATCACATTGGTGGTTTTCATGAGCATAAGCTAACATGAATTTCCTTGATTTTCGTTTTTATCAACAGCAGTGACAAAAATGTTTTTCTAGGGATAGCGTTGGCTTTGACAACCCCTTAAGCTGAGAAGAGAAAAAAAAGCTCGCATTAACTGATAAATATTATGCAATGTATGTAGAATCTGGTAGGATCATCTCCAGAGGTTTGCATATCCACAGATCAGATTACAACATAAAGTACTGGAACATGTTTCTTAATTATGCATATACATTAAGGTAAAATGTATTCTAATCTTTCATGTTTTAAGAGTAAAATGTCAAGACATTTTTGTGATTTCCTCTAACTAGTAAGACAGGTGGGAGGTTCTTTGTGAGGATTTCCAACCAAGCCATATACAACAAATCCGATATGGATCCCTTTCTTGCCACTGGAAGACTCCTAATGACATGAAAGAAAAATTTAAAAATGAAAGTGAAAATTACTATAGGTAGTAACAGTACTAATATTTACTAACTGGCAGCCTTAACTTTTAATTTAAATAGTTAAATAACTTAACTATTTAATAACTGGCAGCCTTAACTTTTACCCCACCCCAAGGTGAAAGCACCGAAATTATTTTTACTGTAGATAGCAAACTGATGTATTTTTCAGGTAATACTATCCATAAACCAGAAAAACAGGCTTAGGTATTGTAAAGACAAAACAAACATGTACATTTTCACTTTTCTTTAAATAGGGAATTTGATCAGCTAATACCTGCCCCCCTTTTTGGTATAAATGATTTTTTCCAATAATTTAAATATCTTATATTTGGGAAAAACCTCCAAAACCATCTATTGGAATCCTACCACCCAATCCAGGAGACAATTCTACAATGTCTTTGATGGATACTTTTCCAGTCTACACTATGTGAAGATATATTTATCTTTATACATAGGAGTCAATTTGTCAGGTATAAATGTGAAGTACTTGGAGGTTTTCTTGTTTAAATACCAATCTTTAAGTAAACAAACATACATTTTCAGTAGATGCGACCCTAACATTTGTAAGGCTAGAGTGTGAAGAGTGAAAATGGAAATGGCTCTGCCTTTTTCTCCTACCTGGGCCTCTTCCTACACTACAGGGAGCCTCGTGAACCTGCCATGGGCACAGTGGCTCAGGGACACCCACCCAGAGAAGGGGCCCGTGAGCTGTGGTGGCTGACTTGTGGCTGTTACTAGATGGGCACACACCTCTTCATAAGGCATGGTGGACAGCAAGTCCAAGTGAGGCTCTGATGCTTATGGGCCTGAGGGGTCAAGGTCACAGGGTGGCACTTATCTTCCTTCACTGTCTAAGAAAGAATCCCACGTGTTCCAAAAAAAAAAAAAAAAAAAAACCACACACATGCACACACACACAGACAGACAGACACACAAACAAAACAAAATTCCCACCTGAAGAGTCATCAGCTTTTAAATGGATTAACCCATTAAGCCTAAGATTTATTTCTAATGTTCTTCAATGCCTGCGATGATACTTACAGGACAATGAGATTAGCAGCTCTGGAGTGCTCCTGCAAGAGTTCATTCAGTCGAACTTGGCGGTAACTCTGTGGGCAACATTCAGATTTGTTGAGTACAGTTCTACCAGAATTATGAATGAGAATTTATTTTCTTAAATCATGACCAAGCGGAAAATCTCATCTTAAAAAATGTGTCAAAATTACAATTACTTTTTCAGGCTTAGAAACTTAACGGTGTTTTAAAACCTCGTGAGAAATTTTAGAAATATAAAGAATAAGACACAGTACAAAGATTTTCATTTTGCTATAGTGGCTTATTAAATTCTAGGGAGAGGGGAAGCAAACAACATAGATAATACCAAAAAGAAGGTGTTTTCTCCTACCCTGGCCTCTTCCTACACTACAAGGAGCCTCATGAGCCTGCTATGGGCACAGTGGCATGTGCCCATGCCCAGGCACAGTGGAATGGCCAGTTTGAGGCAATAGGTTTTCTGTTTAAAAAACTTGATCGAATCTTGATACCAATTTGATACTCTAAGAATATAGATTGTATTCTAGTCTGCCTTTCTTTAAGCTCTCTGAATATTCTGTAAGCAGAGGGGGCTGGCTTCAATTAAAAAGCCACCAAAAGACTCACTTGGAAAAATAACCACTTTGCAGTGACGAGAGTAATGTTTACTATTGTATTTCACTGGTTCAGAAACCAAGGCTCAGATGCGTGATTTGCTCAATTATATGTTAAAACTTGGTCAGAACTGGGCAGCTTATGACACACAGACTTTATGATGATTCTAGTTCAATCTCTTTTTTTCACTAAATCTAAAAGGCTTTTAGTGTTTCTTGCTCAAATTTTTCCAAGTTCAGTTCCTAATGTAGTTGATGTAGGGCATGGTGGGCAGTCAGTCCAAGCGAGGCTCTCTGAGGCTCGTGGGCCCCAGGGGTCAGGGTCTCAGGGTGGCCCTTATCTCCCTTCACTGTCCAAAATCCCACATGTTCCAGTAAAATAAAATCCTATCTGAAGAGTTATGAGCTTTTAAAATGATTAACCCATTCATCCTAAGATTTCTCTCTCTCTTTTGTTTTTTTAGACAGGGTTTCACTCCTGTCATCCAGACTAGAGTACAGTGGCACGATCTCGGCTCACCTCTGCCCCCTGGGCTCAAGTGATCCTCCTGCCTTAGCCTCCCAAGTAGCTGGGACTACACACATGCTACCTCACCAGGCTAATTTTTATATTTTTTTTGTAGAGGCGGGGTTTCGCTCTGTTAACCAAGCTGGCCTTGAACTCCTGAGCTCAAGCAATCCTCCCACCTTAGCCTCCCAAAGTGCTGGGATTACTCTCTTCCCACACAAGGCAAATGGTTCTTAGACCAAGGAAAATAACTCCTTCCAGCCTCACAGGCCCATTCTATTCTGTAGTCATTTCATAACCTCTTCCATCTAGGTTACAAGGCCGCTAGCCCGTCTCTTAGAACCTCTCATTTCCTTTCCAGCGTAGAAATCTATCCTCAAGGAAATCACTTCTCAGTGTTCCATCTGCTATTCTACTACTCCTCAAGGATTGTTCAGGCCCCCTCCCTTTCCTACACGTCAAGCTCGGGGATTTGCCCCCACCCAGGACTAGCAAATTGACTTTACTCACATGCCTCGAGTCAGGAAACTAAAACACCTCTTGGTCTGGATAGACACTTTGACTGGATAGGTAGAGGCCTTTCCCACAGGGTCTGAGAAGGCCACCGTGGTCATTTCTTCCCTTCTGTCAGACATAATTCCTCAGTTTAGCCTTCCCACCTCTATACAGTCCGATAATGGACTGGCCTTTATTAGTCAAATCACCCAAGCAGTTTTTCAGGCTTTTGGTATTCAGTGAAACCTTTATGTCCTTTACTGTCCTCAATCTTCAGGAAAAGTAGAACAGACTAACAGTCTTTTAAAAACACACCTCTCCAAACTCAGTCACCAACTTAAAAAGGACTAGACAATACTTTAACCACTTTCCCTTCTCAGAATTCAGGCCTGTCCTCGGAATGCTACAGGTTCCAGCCCGTTTGAGCTCCTGTGTGGATGCTTCTTTTTATTATGTCCCGGTCTCATTCCAGACACCAGCCCAACTTGAACTGCACCCCAAAAACTTGGGTAGAGCCTAAAAACTCACCAACCAAGCAAGTAATTACGCTGAACCCCCTTAGGTTGTCTCTAATTGGATGTCCTAAGTCCTCCCAATTCTTAGTCCTTTAATACCTGTTTTTTCTCCTTCTCTTATTTGGACCTTGTGTCTTCCGTTTAGTTTTTCAGTTTATACAAAACTGCATCCAGGCCATCACCAATCATTCTATACGACCAATGATCCTTCTAACAACCCCGCAATATCGCCTCTTAACACAAAATCTTCCTTCAGCTTAATCTCTCCCACTCGAGGTTCCCATGACGCCCCAATCCCGCTTGAAGCAGCTCTGAGAAACATCGCCCATTATCTCTTCATACCACACCCCAAAAACTTTCACTGCCCCAGCACTTCAACACTATTTTGTTTTATTTTTCTTATTAATATAAGAAGACAGGAATGTCAGGCCTCTGAGCCAAAGCTAAGCCATCATATCCCCTGTGACCTGCATGTACACATCCGGATGGCCGGCTGCTGCCTTAATTGATGACATTCCACCACAAAAGAAGTGAAAATGGCCTGTTCCTGCCTTAACTGATGGCATTACTTTGTGAAATTCCTTTTCCTGGCTCATCCTGGCTGAAAAGCTCCGCCACTGAGCACCTTGTGACCCGCACCCCTGCCCACCAGAGAACAACCCCCTTTGACTGTGATTTTCCTTTACCTACCCAAATCCTATAAAACAGCCCCACCCCTATCTCCCTTCGCTGACTCTCTTTTTGGATTCAGCCCACCTGAACCCAGGTGAAATAAACGGCCTTGTTGCTCACACAAAGCCTGTTTGGTGGTCTCTTCACACGGACGCACGTGAAAATCACCAACTTCATTCGGCTCAGGACAGAAGGCACAGATGGGAGCATCTTACTGCACTCTCTAGAAAGGCTCACCATTTTTACATCCATATTACAATGTGTGCTGGATCCAGCTTCCATATTCATTGTTCCAGTCACATCATATGTTTCCTCAGATGCCTTTATAAGTTTTTCATAGCCATCTCTTCATCAGTTTAAAATTATTTGTTACTGTGTTAAATTGTGAGTCCATCTAACTTTATCAACTTTGCATACATATTGACTCAAATTATTTTAGGCTGATGGGTCTCTCTCCTGTTCTTTAAAATGAAATTTGAAAGGAGACTTCACAATCTGTGCCAATAACCTATTTTTTAACTTTTAAAAAATAATTGACCTTATGGGAAAAATGAAACCGTTTTCTAAATAATCATATCCAGTAAATGATTGAAAAGCACTTGAAAAATGCAGAAACCTTGGATCTTGAATAATGACGCTTGATAATAAATATATTGCTTCTTTGTCTTTAAATCAACTACTGTTTCCTTTTTCAGCTAGTTAGACAGCAAAAAAATTAAGAAAGACAAGTCCGTACCTTTTCCTTGACTGCTTCCAGTTCTGCATCTGTAATTTTCCATGGAGTTTCTCTTTTTAATTTCTCAGCAGTTGTTAAATCTTTGCAGCTTTCATGGAGACGATATGGTTCAATCATCTCTTCAAAGACTTTCCAGCTAAAATTTGAATTATAAAGGAGGCCTCACAGTGGGAAACTAACTCATTATTTCACAGATACTCCAGGTATGACTGGCTCTGCTGGCTGTGGAATCAGAGCTGAATATCATGCAAATCTTTTAAGAATTATCTTTGCAGGGAATTTACTGTGAGTAAAACCATGGCTACAGTACACCCTCCCTACCCCAGAAAAGGCTTTAGTGTGTTCAAGGCCTTGTTAGCCTATTAGGTATTAGATCTTCAATATTATCACACAAACACATAGGTAGTAATTGTTCTGCAAATACATTTTCTGCATCGTGTAGTCAAAGACATAGTTGTAATGTAGATACTTTAGCACACAAATGAGTTTCCACCTGCTTATTGTACAGACTCTATGGGAGAAATTCATCAATTAACGTAGGAAATGGATATGGCTACCCTCACCCTAAGTCCACATGGCAACTCCCACTCATGGCAGGAGGCCGCTGGCAGGTAGGAGGAGAACAGCAAGGGCTCCCACAAGTTTAATGATTGTAGAACAATTTGGATGCTTTCTGCAAGTAATGCTCCCCTTGTCCTTTTGTTGTTTGATGTTGCTGTCTGAGATTTTCAAATGAGTATTATTCAGGTTCATGTTAGGAGAAAGAACAAAAATCAATAATGTTTTAATGCCTAAAAATCTGACACTATGTTAGAACATTTAAAAAGAAATTGCTGAGGAGAAAACTAGCAGCTAAGAGCTACAGAACATTTTAAAAATTACTTATAAGAATCTCATAAGATTTATTTTTAAAAACAATGATACAAAGTAAAACTTATATTTACGGCAGTAGTTGTCCCTAGTGTGCTACTTTAAGATGCTCTCAAGAACAATTTATTTGGTTTTATATAATGTAGCTTAGTTATAATTTAGTAATTTTGGAATGAATAATAATTAGAATCAATATGCTGTTAAGTCAGGAAATGAAAATATGAAGTAACGAGTTCAATTATCTCACCAACTGGCCTGATTTAGGATTTGCAGATAAAAGTGCAGAGATTACAAAGGAGCAGGACTGTCCCTACTAGTGAGCCTTTGTTAAGAGACTGAAAAGATACTTAATGCGTTAGGCTTCCATTGCATTGACTTATTTAGAAAGGTAGGCACAGACAGGGAAAGAATAAGACTGATAGGCCCTATTATTCTTTCAACTTTGATCTCCTATTTCAACAGTGTCGTGCCTTTAGAGACCTCTGGGAGTGGTCATCACTATGGAAAGGTGCTGGCTTCGGAGAGTAGGATCTGGGTTCTTGCTCCAGCTCTTGCATTGTTCTCCTTGGCCTGGATATTCTAGGCTATAAAAGGGGAGTAACCATGGCTGCTAGAAGGGGAGTAACAATGGCTGCTAGAAACTGGTTTGAGAGTCACTGTGATAATTTGGGTGACAGTGCTCTGAAAAGCATGCAGTGCCTTGGAAAGGCAAGACGTTCACTTTACTCAGCAGCCACAGGATTGACGTTAGCAGTGGAGAGGCTTTCTGTTTAAGCTCTTCATATACTTATTTTGATCAGGATGAGAGTTTCTTTGCAGCTCAACCCAAATTCTTGTTAGAAAGCACAGTACAAAAATAGTTTCCTGAGGAATAGAAGGTGGAGTAGAGGTTGCTGGTTGTCTCCCCAGCAACTGTACTATGTTTTCCTCGTTGTAGTTTCAGTGGGAATGACTTCATTGCCAGCATAGACAATCAGCACAACTCTATGTCTTCTTCCAGAGTGATTGGCCAGGTGGGCACATAACATAGGGAAACTTGAACCAATGAGTACCCATTACTATGCTGACCACAGTAATGTCTCAGTGGCTTAGGTTAGTGAAACCTGAAAGGAGCCCTGGACCCTGAGCTCACTAATTTGAGAAGAGACAAACTTTCTCTCCTATGGAACATACATGAGCGAGTGGGTAGTCCTGGTTGCAATTGACAGTCATCTTGTTTTTATAAGTGAAATCAACTTTGATGGATGCTTTTATTAAAAAAAAAAGTAAAGTAGGGAGACTGAAAGAGAATTAGTCCTTGATTACAAAATTAACCTAGATCAAGCTTAGCCTGAAATCCAAAATATGATTGTATTTTTAAGTTACATATGAAAGTAATTCCTATTGTCTAAATCACTGTGAGTTAAGTTTTCTTTTACTTGCAATTGAAACATGCTAAGTGACACGGGATGATAACGGGGCTGTATTTGCCCATTTTTGTCTTTGAACACTTACTGCTCCTTCTCTGTGTTCATCTTTGATTTGTCTATCCTTTGGATCATCTTTGAACTGGCTATTTTTCATTCTCTTCGCTAGGGGATCCTGACGTAGCTCAAGATTTCTATTTTGATTCTCATTAAATCTGATTTTTTCCTTATAAGTATTTTTAATTGACTCTAGAATAAGCCAAGTGTTACATGCTATTAAATATAAATAAGAATTCAATTGTTAAAATTAACTACTGCCTTCCCCATCCTTGTTCCTCATAACAAAGTTTAAAATTTTTAAAATTGCATAATATTTTCCCCCCAAGTCCACATAAAATTTCTTCTCTCAAAGTAATGTACCAATTGTTTCTGGGACTACTCTAGCATCTTTAAACTAAATTACCTACTTAATTGCTTCTAGTTTCTCTTTGATTTCCACATAAAGATTGTTGTCTTTTTGTCCTAAGACTTTTAATTCAGTCTATACAATAAAAAATGGAATTTAAGCACAAGAGCTTTTCAGTTTCTCCTGGCTCAATTATTTTCTCATTAACTTTGCTTTTATACTCCCTTTCACCCTTGCCCTACCATGTTTATAGATAATGTTTCTATGATAAAATTCCTCCATCAAGACTTACTGATGTTTTATGGGTAGTTGAAAGATTTATTAAAGGCAATTTGAGGGCATTTAAAATTAGCCTCCAACATGGAAATCATTGACAAGCTATTTTTGACATATTGTGTATCACCTGGTGACCAAGAAAGAATAGTGATCAGGGGATAGTTGTTAACAGTAGGTAGGAGCTGCCTGGCCAAGGTCCAGGTGGGAGCTGAAATTGAGCCAGTGCTCTATTTTCTAAACGTTAGCTCCTGGGTCTGGGGCTGCATCAGCCCAGAGGAAGAGTTCTCTTTCTCTGATTAGACCATCCAGAGGAGTTGCCTTAATTAAGGTATTACAAATATGCCAGATGCGCTACTAGTGGCCATCTGTGAGATTTACTGAATGACCGTACTGTGTTCTACATTAGGGTTACTTTCAAGTATTGGAACAGCCATTGCCAACATCAGATAGGGACTGTTTTATAAAGTAATATGACATCACTGTGGCAGGAGGCTGAAGAGAAGAGGATGGCTCTTCCAGCACACTCCTTCTGGTGGCCTCCTGTTTCGTCAGCAGGGTATATTGGTCACAAGGATTCTTTTATTTTAGTAAGAATGGATTTTTTTTTCTGCATTTTCCTTAATACCTTGAAACAACAGAGAGAAAACCTCCAAAATTTTGAAAACTAATTGATTTCCTGACAAAAAAAATTAATTCTCTTTATTCCAGGATAATGAGGACATGTGACAAACACCAAATGAACACAGTGGACATCAGAAGAGGACATCCTGGGACAAAGGTCAGAGTAGTAAGTAGAAGAGTGTCCAGACTACGAAAAATATTCAAAGAAAAAAGAGGCTTGGTTAATGGAAGAGGTACATCAGCCTCAGCAATAGGACAGAAAGGATGGCTATGCAGGGTGGTGACCGTGGCAGCTGGACAGACTAGTATGAAAGAAGGAGAAGGATATAAGGACTTGGGTTGAGAAAACTAGACTGACAAGTAAAGAGACAAAGAAATATAGGCACAAATGAGTCAGCAAAACATTGATAATGTCAGCAAACACTGGTAATGCTTAGCTAAGGATAAGACCAACAACCGCAAGGAGAATTTGGCTACAAGAAGTGGGTGAGGCCAGGTGTGCTGGCTCATGCCTGTCATTCCAGTACTTTGGGAAGCCAAGGTGGCAGGATCAGTTAAGCCCAGGGGTTTGAGACCAGTCAGGGCAACATAGTGAGACTTTTTCTTTACCAGAAAAAAAGCTGGGGGTAGTGGCTCATGCCTGTAGACCCAGCTACTCAAGAGGCTGAGGCAGGAGGATCTCTTGAGCCCGGAAGTTAGAGGCTACGATGAGCTATGATTGTACCACTGCAACCTAGCCTAGATGACAGTGAGATCCTGTCTCAAAAAAAAAAAAAAAAAGGTGGATAGTTCATGTTCAGTAGGGCTTATAGGAAATCCAAAGTCAGTAGAAGACACAGTGACTACCCACTAGACAACAGAAAATGGCCCTATCTTGCAGAGCACTGGCCGGCTATGCCCTATTGCTAAGTGGCATGTACTAAGGAATTGTTGGACTTGCTGATATGAAAGAGGATGTATTTCTACCAATTAGAGCCATATGATGAGCTTGTTTGATTATATCGCTGCAAATGCCAAAATACAATGATATAGAGAATGGAAATTCTTTGAATAAAAAGTAGAAGGCTACCAGAGATTACCGTATGACAACCCAGTTAATATCAGAATGTTAATTACATTTGTCAATGAGAATTATGCGTTCTTAGTTTTTCTTATGCATTTATAACTATAGAAATACAAGAATGTAATGCATTAGAGTATGATGTAAAGAAATATCACAAAGTAATAACCAGTTTCACCCTGTCGATTATAGCTTTCTTATCACAGTTAATTTATTTCTTTTCTCTCCCTCTTTTTTTTTTTTTTTTTTTTTGAGATGGAGTCTCGCTCTGTTGCTAAGGCTATAATGCAATGGTACGATCTTGGCTCACCACAACCTCTACCTCCCGGATCCAAGTGATTCTCCTGCCTCAGTCTCCCGAGTAGTTTGGATTACAGGCGCCCACCACGCTTGGCTAATTTTTGTATTTTTATTAGAGACAGGGTTTCGCCATGTTGGTCAGTCTGGTCTCGAACTCCTGACCTCAGGTGATCTGCCTGCCTCGGCCTCCCAAAGTGCTGGGATTACAGGTATAAGCCACCGTGCCCGGCTCTTTTTTCTTTTCTTTTTTTTTTTTTTTTTTTGAGACAGGGTCTCAAAAAAGAGACTCTTGTCACCCAGCCTGCAGTGCAGTGGGGTGATCATGGCTCACTGTAGCCTTGACCTCCCAGGTTCACGTGATCCTCCTGCTTCAGCCTCCTGAGTATCTAGGACTACAGGCATACACCACCAAGCCTGGTGAATTTTTTCTATTTTGGGGGGTCTTGGTATGTCGCCCAGGCTGCTCTGGAACTCCTGGGCTCAAGCAATCCTCCTGTCTTGCCCTCCCAAAGTGCTGAGGTTACAGGTGTGAACCACCACGCCTTGCAGTTAAGGTGTTTTGTAAAACCATTTTAACTGACCCACTGCCTTGGAAGGATCATGAGTAACCTCAAAGAATATGAAATTCAAGTTTGTTTGATCAGTAAGAATGCATCTTAAATTGGAATAATTTTCAGTTAGTTATTAAGCTCATATAGAATAGCAATAAATCAAAAGAAGGAAAGAGTCAAGAAGCCTTGAAAAACATGGAATTATAATCCATCAAGAAGTACAAAAGGGGCCGGGTGTGGTGGCTAACACCTGTAATCCCAGCACTTTGGGAGGCTGAGGCAAGCAGATCACAAGGTCAGGAGATCGAGACCATCCTGGTCAACATGGTGAAACCCCGTCTCTACTAAAAAAAAAAAAAAATACAAAAATTAACTGGGCGTGGTGGTGCGTGCCTGTAATCCCGGCTATTCAGCAGCTGAGTGAGGCAGGAGAATCCCTTGAACCAGGGCGTTGGAGGTTGCAGTGAGCCAAGATGGCACCATTGCACTCCAGCCTGGCAACAGAGCGAGACTCCATTTAAAAAAAAAAAACAAAAAAAGAAGTACAAAAGGAAGAAGAAATGATGGTCAACAGAAAAGGGAAGAGATCTGACAGAACCGTGATAATCTAAGCCATTCTGGGACCTTCACATCCCTCTGTATGATTCCTCTTGGAGGCCCCACTCCACACGAAATCAAATGTATTAAATTGCATCTGAGTGCAACAGAAAATATGATTTTAGACTATAAATAATTGAAAACATTTTGTAATTGTTAAATGATAACTCTAAATATTTAATTTAATTTATAACTGGCCATGGTTTCTAAACAATCTTCTTGCACCCTTGCAAACTACTGTGAAGATCTAACCTACAAGTGTTTTCAAATATCAGTGTTGCCAGGTGTGATGGCTCATGCCTGTAATCCCAGCACTTTGGGAGGCTAAGGCAGGCAGATCACTCAAGCTCAGGGGCTTGAGACCGCCTGAGGGAACATGAGCGAAAAGGCCCGTATCACCAAAAATTACACCAAATGTGGTGGACGTTGGCTTGTGGTCCCAGCTCGCTAGGAGGGCCAAGGTGGGAGATGACCTGGAGTCCGGAGGACAGAGGTTGTGTGAGCTGAGATTGCACCGTGACACTCATCTGGGTTTTGCTGTCCCGACGCATTGCTGGTGACAGGTGGACCCCCTTGTCGTTAAAAAAAAAAAACCAAAAGTATCATTGGTTATAAGCTTAATGTTTGGTCGCCCCCAACCCATTTCATGTGTTGAGCCTAACTCCTGTGATAGTATTTGGGAGTGTTGAGCCTTTTGGGGCGGTAATTAGTTGAGATGAGTTTCATGAGGTAGGTTCCCTATATAGGATTTGTGCCTTCTGTATAAGGGAGAGGAAGAGAATTTTTCACCATGTTGAGGCGATTAGCAAGGAGGCGGGCCATCTGCACCACACAGAGGGGCCTAACGGAAATGAGTAAGTTAGCGCTTGACTTGGATGTCCCGACTTCGGAGAATGTGAGAAAATAAATGTCGCTCTGTGTTTAATCCACCAGTCCATGCATTTGGTGGCTATTAGCAGGGCCTGAGCTGGACAAAGGACATGAATGGTTATGGAGGATTAAAATAATGTCACATTTTGGAGGATTATTTAAAGTGAGTTACTTTTTGATTTTGTATTCTTTTTTTATTTGTGAGCCCAATAATTTTCGGGTTTGCAGGGCTGCAGATCGCTCTCTCTAGACCATCCGCCCGAAATTTCCACAGGCGCCATTTACCTGTTGGGCCTTTAAGTGCCTAAAAGATAGAATTGACCCTCTGGGGAGGGGTTATTGTCCGATTGCGGGGAGAGTGATTTCATTTTGCTACATCAGAGCTCCCCTCCAGTGCTTCCGATGAGTACTTTGAATAAAAACTGTGCCTGATGGCTTGGTCAGGGAATGGTATGACTTGCGTTCCTGGGCTACTCTTGCCACCCAGTAGGAAACCAAGAATCAGGAAGGGCCATTTATACATCGAACACTATCTGGTTTTCAATCAATTCTCCTACTCTCGAGGCTTGTCTTCAATGTAAAAGAGTGTCTTCCCTTTGAATGTACTTGTTTAGTTTCTGTCGATGATTATTTGAGGCCTTTTATTAGAATCCATTGCAGACAGTCACTGGCAGTATCAATACATAACATTTTTTTTTTAGCGACTGTTTTGATATCAACACAAAAAAGGAATGGACTGAGTGGAGGTTCATGGTAATCAAGTGGATCTTGTTAAAATATTTATACTTCTTTGTTTTGGGCTTTACTTGTTGATGTCACCAAGAGTGTGGATGCTGCAAATTTTATTCCTAAATTTGTTCAGGAGGGAGCATTTTCTGGAAAATATGAAAGGAACAGTTTGACTTCATCATATGATCTTTAACTAATTTAATCAAAAGAGATGGTTTGTGTATTAGTTAAGATAGTCAAAAGCATCATGTTATTCAGAGAACTTAGATTTGCAGAGGCTTTTTGGTTGGTGTTTGATAATATCTTACATGTACCTGGATGAACACTTAAGTGTGGATCCAAGCTATTTACGGATAGGCATAAAGAAATCCTGTAGGTGCAGACACTGGGCACAGCCATCCAACCCTGCATTTATGTCACAGGGAAAAGAATGCAATCTGTCCAAATTTTTGTTATTTTTGAAAAGACAGCAAGTTCTTAAATATTATGGCCTAATAATATTGGTGTAATTTTTATCAGTTATGCAAAGTACTGGACAGTTATAATATATCAGTAATATGTAAATTTATATGTCTTAATTTTATATATCAAAATTATTATAATATTAATTTCAATAATATAACCAATATTATAACATTATAAACCATCGTGTATATTATAAAACCTCATATATATAAGCCTTATATGTATATGGCTTATATATATATATATATGAGGTTTTTTTGTGGCAACTGATAATTTTGATATAATTTCAAAGTTACAGAAAAGTGTTTAAGATAATACAAAGAACTCCCAGATTCACCAGTTGTTTATATTTTGTCCCATTTGATTTACCATTTTGTTTCTCTCTCTTTATATTTATCTATCTATTTACTTCTATCTCTATCTATCTACCTATCTACTCTAATCTTTTAAAGTCAGTTGCAGATATTAGGCACCTTTACCCCTAAGTTTTTCAGTGAGCAGTTCCTAAGAACAAAGACAATCTCTTATATAAAGAGAGCACAATTTTTGAAATTGGAAAATTTAACATTGATGCCATACTACCATTTAAGCCACAAAACATTTTCAAATTATACTAATTGTCCCAATAAAATATTGGCAGCTTTAATATAAAATATTATAGACATTATGTTAGTTTCCATGTTAATATGATCCTCCTGAAGTACAACTGAAAATATATATTAGTATATACATATCATATTGATTTGATTGAAAAGATATATATGCATATACGTATAATATATATGCAGTCATACACCACATAATAACATTCTGGTCAATGACAGACTGCATGTACGATCGTGGTCCCATAAGATTATAATGAAACTGAAAAATTCCTATCACCTAGTGATGTCCTAATTGTTGTAATAATGGCATAGCACAGCCATTATTCACAGCATTATTCACACGTTTGTGGTGATGCTGGTGTAAACAAACCTACTGCACTGCCAGTCATATAAAAATACAGCACATACAATTGCGTACAGTACATAATACCTGATATGTACTTGATATGCACTTGATAACAATAATAAATGACTGTTACTGGTTATGTGTTTACATACTATACTTTTTATTATTATTTTAGAGTGTACTTCTTCTACTTATTAAAAAAAGTGAACTGTGAAACAGCTTCAGGCAGGTCATTTAGGAGATATTCCAGAGGAAAGCATTGTTATCATAGGAGATGACAGCTCCATGCCTGTTATTGCCCTGGAACACCTTCCAGTGGGATACAAGATGTGGAGGTGGTAGACAGTGATATTGATGATCCTGACCCTGGATAGACCTACCCTAATGTGTGTGTGTGTGTTTCAGTTTTTAACAAAAATATTTAAAAAGAAAAAATAGAAAAAAGCAGGCCGGGCGCGGTGGCTCACGCCTGTAATCCCAGCACTTTGGGAGGCCGAGACGGGCGGGAGATCAAGACCATCCTGGCTAACACGGTGAAACCCTGTCTCTACTAAAAATACAAAAAGTTAGCCGGTCGAGGTGGCGGGCGCCTGTAGTCCCAGCTACTCGCGAGACTGAGGCAGGAGAATGGCGTGAACCCGGGAGGCGGAGCTTGCAGTGAGCTGAGATCCGGCCACTGTACTCCAGCCTGGGCGACAGAGCGAAACTCTGCCTCAAAATAAAAAAAAAATAAATGGCCGGGCGCAGTGGCTCAAGCCTGTAATCCCAGCACTTTGGGAGGCTGAGACGGGCGGATCACGAGGTCAGGAGATCGAGACCATCCTGGCTAACACGGTGAAACCCCGTCTCTACTAAAAAATACAAAAAAACTAGCAGGGCGAGGTAGCGGGTGCCTGTAGTCCCAGCTACTCGGGAGGCTGAGGCAGGAGAATGGTGTAAACCCGGGAGGCAGAGCTTGTAGTGAGCTAAGATCCGGCCACTGCACTCCAGCCTGGGTAACAGAGCAAGACTCCGTCTCAAAAAAAAAAATAAATAAATAATAAAATAAAAAAGAAAAAAGCTTATAGAATAAGGATATAAGAAAACACTTTTGCACAGCTGTACAATATGTTTTAAGCTCGGTGTTATTACAAAAGGGTCAAAAGCTTACAAATTATACAGTAAAAAAGTTACAGTAAGATAAGGTTAATTTATTATTAAAGAAAAATATTTTTTATTCTCAGGTCCAGCTTTGAAGAAAAATATTTTTGTATAAATTTTGTGTAGCCCAAGTATGAAGTGTTGATAAAATCTACAGTCGCGTAGTCATGTCCTGGGGCCTCACATTCCCTCACTGATGCACCCAGAGCAACTGCCAGTCCTGCAAGTTCCATTCATGGTAAGTGCCCAATACCAGTGGACCATTTTTTATCTTTTATGCTGTATTTTTACTATACCGTTTCTATGTTTTGATATACAAATATTTACCACTGTGTTACAGTTGTCTACAGTATTCAGTTCAGATTTGTAGCCTAGAGCAACAGGGTATACCATGTAACCTAGGTGTGTAGTAGGTTATACCATCTAGGTTTGTGTAAGTACACTCTGATGTTTGCACAATATGAAATTGCCTGACACATTTCTCAGAATGTAACAATGTAGCAATTTATAACTATATGTGTGTCTGTGTGTGTGTATGGGTATATATATATGTATACCACATTCACAGCACAATACATCCTAAGAGGGAAGAGAAAATATTAAAAATTACTGAATAAAGCCTGTCATTATTTTGTGACTTCTGGAAGTGCTGGTTCCAGGAAGGACTCGGAGCTTAGTCCCTCAGTGCCATGAGGGACTAAGTGCTGAAGGTGGTTTTCTGAATTTCCACCAGAGACCTCTAGATGTGTCATGTTCTCAGCATGCTTATTCTTCTCACACCTGGCATCAGCTCTCAATGGCTACATTAATGAGAAAGATACAGACTTACACTGTGGGATTTTTTTTTTTTTTTAAATTTAAATTAGAAGAGTTCTCTACAGTCATCCCTTTAAACTCTTTCAAACTACAAAGGAGAAACTGGGGACCCAGATGTATTTGGCAACTGTTGCAAAGTCCTACAGCTCCTTGATGGCAGAGCTGGGGCTAGAACCCAGGTGCAGTCTCTCCATTTAGTTCTCTTTTACATATGCTGTGCTAAGAGTGACTGCCATGAATTAGGAGGTTTGAATTCCCACAGAAAAAGCAACTGGACCCGAATTTCCTTCAGGCTCTTCTTTTCTTGGATGCCTTTACTGGTCAGAACAAAATAAGCATTATATGAGATAATGAAGCTCCTACTCAGGACTTGCGATGAGGCTTCTGTGGCACCTTCCTTTTGGAAAGCATTTGTGACAGAAGATAAGAGGTCTTGCTTGAAGACAGTGATCAGGAAAAATATGAAAATAATTTACTGACCAGAAAACCAAGTAAACACGAGGCCTATCCTGGTGGCTTTGTCTTTAAGTCTACTGTGTCTCAGAGACACTTAAAGTTATTAAAATGAAAGCATTAAAGCAACAAACCTCTGAAATGACCTAACATGTGGGTGGTAAACTACTTACGCAATTTTTTCTTCTTCAATGCGGTTGATCTTTCCTCCAACATAGATCCTTAATTTACAGTCTTTCCATTTTTTTCTGAGAGTCAAGATATAGGGGATAAGAAGTGTTAACCCTGGAATAAAGAGTGAATTATGACACGATGAGTATATCTAAATGGGAGGAAATGAATAGCTTTATATCTTTATTCATTCCCACACTGATAGCTCTTAATTAAGTTACAATCTTTGGAGAACACAGAAACATTATTCTTTAACCAGCATTGTTCCCATATACCTTCTCATGCAGTTTGTTAAGTTGATCAAGATAGAAATTCTTGTCCCTAGTGTATTTTCTGAAAGTTTTTACCTCCGTCATCAAACAACCACCAAACATCAATTGTGCCTTTTTCTTGTTTCTTTTTAAATTGAGTGCTGGCTTCCACCAGTTTCTGGTTGAACTCTCCCACATGCATCGACTGGATTGTGTTAATGCTGCCATCTGAAATGAAGGAGGAATTGATGCATCTGTTTGCTTCTGAGGGCAGAAGCAAAATAACTTTCCAATCAATCTACTGATGAAAATAGAGAAAAGGTCACAGATTCATGTTTATTATACCTAAAATAAATAGCGACTCTATTCTTCAAAAGGCAGAGATAAAAGTCCAATCCCAGAATAATTTAGACCACCTTCAATAGTTAAATAAAATATTGACAGTCAATAGTTAAGTAAAACAGCTTTATGATTATAGTTTTTATTAAAAAACAATGGATTTTTTCAGACCTTTAGCAATCTGTCTCAGAGTGGAGTTATTATTGAGGCATGCAGCAATGCTACTAGCCAGAAATCCCCATTTCCCCAAATCTCAGATATAAATCAACTTAATAGTATTAATATTTTTATATTTACTTCACATGTGGTAAGTGGTTTTCTGGAAATAAGCTATAGAATCAGAAATATCCTTTCATTAAGGAATTGATGTGTGAAGCACTATTTTGGTTTAAGTTCCATTCAGGTCTGGTTTCTAAAATTTGCCAGGGACCATGTGCATCTTGAACTCTGTGACTATTTGGTCCCTTAGTCAGCCTGGCTTACTCCTCTGCTTTCTTTTCAAGGAATCTTGTGAAGCTAAAGTAAACCCATTTGAGCTATTTGAATCTTTGTGAATTAGATGAAAAAAAAAAAGCTAGAAAATATGGAAATAAAAACATCTTTACTCGAGTTATAATTCAGGGTGCATATAAAACAGTTAAAATTTTTTAAAATGCAATTTCTACCCTGACATGGATACAATGAAAGTGTACCAGGGAACTCCGCCAGTGTTGGAGCCGGACCTGTTCCTGTTTGCCAAGAGGGGTTTCTTTGCCACAGTGTACATAGTGTTTCTCATATCTGTGTCTTTGAAAGTCATGACTTCATTGCTGTCTTTCAAAGAGGTGGTGTCAGCCTGGTGCTTAGAGGAGGGCTGACAGCCTCTTCAGAGCTTCCTCTCTGATCTAAGAGGTTCTGAAGATGCTTTGTTTTATCTTTTGCTGTTTCTGTGTTTAGGGTCTGTCAGTTCTGAAGCAATGATCTGATATTGTTTTTACATCCCTGGGACTGCTGAGGGAGAAAAATTTATTTACAAAATGGACCAAGCTCTGCCCTCACCTACAGACAAGTCAAAGTATCCAGAGGCCTCCTGTTCATACTCAGGTGCCTGGGGGCAGGATTGGTTCTGGTCTAGAACTCAAGAGTTGACAATAACGGAAGCCTAGAGTAGTGAATGAGCCCACTTTAGAGCTATGTTTAAACTTCTAGGTATTAAAACAGTATATAACATTATTACTTTTCTTTTCTGAACAATTTGACATGTTGACTTTTGGAAGAGTATATTTTTGCCAAAACAAGTATTGTGATGCAAAAATAAGCTTCCAGAATAAATAACAAGTCCTGCTGTCATAATAAGGACATTAATGCTTCCCTCTCTCTAGTTAGACCACACTGTTGGGCTATGACTTTTGAATTTTCCATTATTTTCCAGACTGTACCACTTAATAGAGCAGATTTAATGGATTGTTAACTTTTTTTTACAGTTAAACCAAATAATTAGAAAGAAAAGAAGAAGTAGTTAGCATCCAGAACAGTCTTATTTAAATATTTTCACCCTGATGTAGCTTCAGCTTGAATTCAAACACATCATCTACGTCATTTTAAGGTGAACTGTAAGGAGTAGGCCACGGCCCATGGGGTTATCCCAGGAACTCGACAGTACCCAGAGTATCTGAAGTGGGGCAATATCTGGATTTCCCATCATTCTCTGTAGATGTATAAAACTATTATATTATAGGTGAAATTTCATCTTTGGGCTATAGTAGGAAAGCAAACAGACAAACCATTTATGGGGTGGGAGATGGCCTTGTCGAAGAGCCTCTTTGAAGGGTTGGCCCTGGTCAACCTAGACCAGAAGCCTGCTAAGTCTCCACTTGGATCCTGCTGTTTGACTTGGAGACCCTCCCAGAGAAACCATCTTTTCCTGGCCTCACACCAGAGTGTGACTTCAGTAACTACAGGACGTTCGTGCATAAATAAATGCCTGCTAACATTCTGATTTTGGACCAGCAGAGGTCACTGTGGACCTCATTAAACTCAAACCCGTAATGTTTCGGAAAGTAATTTTCAAAAATCCAAACGTTTGAATCGTCTGTTTATAAAACGTGTAACGAGCTCTCCCAACCTCTGATCCTCTGTCCCAGGACTGCATACCATAAGTTCACATATAAATGTACGATTTAGATGAAATCTACAGGTAGTGAGTATCAATAAAGTTCTAAGTCCTGCATTCTGGTTTGTGATAAAGATGCTTTTTTTGAAATCAGCGTTCCAGCTGGATACCGTATTTGCATGTACTAGTCATATTTCAGTTCCCTGAAATGTCTGAAAGGTAAGGGTATGTGTGGATAAGACGGTTTGGGTACTGACTCTTAAATTTCTATCCCCTTTCCATCTTAACTGAGAAACTTCTGTTTCATGGCATGCAATCTGCTTAAGCACTATTTGACTTCCAAACCAAATATTACATTTAAAAAATAATTTTTGGCAGTAAGATGGTACAAAGTACTTAATGAGGTTGATAAATGACAATAGCTGCTACCGTTTATCCATACTACCTTCTGGAGAGAAACCTTTCAGTTCCTACCTGCACTCAATGCCCCCAACATCTTAGATGCTGACTTCGGACTCTTTCTAGATGCTCAAATAGTGACTTATCTTATAAACTTTCTTGCAAATTTTAAAAAGTACTTACCTTTTTTAGGCGTTGTCTTGGTAATATTCAACTTGCCAGCTTTTTTAAACAAGCCTCGGATGCCTCCACTTTCCTCTTCACACTCATTGTCTTTGATAGTCGCTTCCAATGCTAGTCTCTCCTGTTCTAATCTCTCTAATTCCTCTGATGAAAGAAGACAAATCACCCACTTAACTCAGAGCTACAAAGTTTCTAGAAACAATCTTATAAACTTTTAATATTTAAAATGGTATGTATGTGATAAGATAATTGTTTATACATAGTATATTTTTTCTAAATGATTTTTATATATTATCTTTTAATAGAAGTAATATATTTTGGTTGGGTGAGGTAGCTCGTGCCTGTAATCTCAGCACTTTGGGAAGCCAAGACAGGTGTATCGCTTGAGCCCAGGAGTTCGAAACCAGCCTGGGCAACATGGTGGAAATCTATCCCTATGAACGATACAAAAATTAGCCGGATGTGGTGTGTAGTGCCAGCTACTTGGGAGGCCGAGGTGAGAGGATCACCTGAGCCTGGGGGGTAGAGGCTGCAGTGAGCCATGATCATGCCACTGCACTGCAGCCTGGGCAATAGAGTGAGATCCTGTCTCCAAAAGAAAAAATAAAAAGTAATGTATCTTAGTAAATAGTATTCAGAAAGTTGTCACAACTAGCTTAAAAAAATAGCTCTATGTGTTAGGTTATGATACATAAAGTTACTACATTTTTTTTTGTGAGGGCAAGAGAGGCTATTTAATGCCATTCTTATTCACTACCATGCAAAAACAAACAAACAGAAAATCTTTCACACTGTAAGCCACTGATTTACTGACCTAAGCTAGTGGGTCAGATGTTTTACAACTGGAAGTGACAAAATTACCAAAGTACACTGGGTATATATCAGCCACACAACAATGCTTCATGAGTTGAAACATAAAACTAGACAGCAAGAATTAAGAGAAGATAACAAAATCTTACAATAAACTCTATAGGCATTGGATACAAATTACAATGGAAAGCATTCACCACCATTCCTTTCAATAAGCAAAATACTTTGTGGAGTGGGTGACCAAAGTCAAAGAAATAAAAGCTGAGGTTTCTGGGTGCCTGTCAGAGTTCACATTGCTAAAAGGGGTCTTATGACACGTTTTAGTCTGGAACAGGAGTCAAGCAGTGCAAAATTTCCTGCCCAAGGTTTAGACACACTATCCAAGCTTTCATGTTGTATCTGGCTGCCTTTTATCTTTTTTGGATTCTGATTGTGACGAAAATTTCCTAGCTGCTATGTAATGTGCGGGATCTTTCTTTGACCTCACCCCACACTGGGTCCGGGTAAGTAAGACTTTCAAAGCAGTCACATGACAGTGCTACACTTAGGAGGCTTCTTGCTTCTTGCTTACACTGGGTGAGGTGGCCCTCTTGTCAGATAACCTCATCTTATTGCCTGCTGAGAACAGAGCCTTAGAAAATGAGCAATGTTCAGAGGAAGAGGATAGAAAACCTAGATTCAGTGTTACAAAACACTGGGAGAGCTTCTGTAAATGTCAACCTTCGGAGCCCATTGCCTTATCTATCTGTTAAGCGAAGCTATACAAACTCTAGATTTATCAATTATGTACTAACTAAATCTGTCAGGACAGTCACATCCCTAGACGATGCTGCTATTCAGCTACACAGAATTGTCTGGCCCCTTTCCAGGTCTTAGCAATTAATCTTTTGCTAGTGGCATGAGATTTAAGGTCAAATCACCCATGTGATTTCCCCGAAGCTTCAAAGGTTCTCAAGATCAGCAGCTATAGAAAATCTGAGAAATTAGGCTGATGGTATTAAAACTGAGACAGAAGTTGCTTACCCCTGACTTTTGAAAGGTGAAGACAAGCTGCATTGCAATGGGGGGTCATGACCGATTACAGTTCTGCTGCTGGCTTTAATGTGACATTAGCCAAGTAATTAACTTTTTCTTTGCCTTGGATTTCCCGTCTGTGAAATGGAAAACTGTAACCCTTTCCTTTTCCCACTCCCCAAGCTTTGCAAAAAGAATAAACAAAATGTCCACACAGGGTTTTGGAGGTCCTTAAAGAACAGAGCAAGAACTGCATTCTGTAGGCAGTATATTTATGCAACTTTTGGAAATGGGCCTAGTCATGCAAAACAAATTGAGTATTTTGAGATGCCTGGGAGTTATTTTAGCAGTTACTATTTATTGCACACTCTTTGGGTGCCAGGGACTGTGTTGCATTTTATTCCTTTCCAAACAACTCTGAGATAGTTACTACTATTATCATCTTCATTTTGTAGATGAAGAAACTAGTAGGTTAAGTGACTTGCCTGATATCACCCAGCAAGTTACAGGGTTCATATGCAAAGAGATCTGCATATGTTTCCCACCATGAAGACCCTCTTCCTGTGGCTTATTATTATTATTTCAGAGTTGTTTTATTACCTTCCTACGCTTTGTCATCAGATGAACCTAAACACTCTCAGGCACATGGTGTAATGCTAAGTTAATCCCCCCAAATGATGGCCCATCCAACATGTAATTTTAAAATGAGGACCCTAAAGATATAGGTCTATATGGGAGGCTGCACTAGAGCAGCAGCACTGGTACCCAGACTTTGTGGTCACTGTCCTGGATGACGGCACCCTAGCTGTTATTTTGCCTTCTGGGGTGTTGCAGGGGGCCACTTATGGGGTAACCTGCTCTTTGCAATCCTCTGATGTGGCAACTGTAAGGGCTGCCCTGGGAGGGGACTCTTCTTTTTTCTTTTTTTGGGCAGGCTCCAGTGGGCCCTATGATTAGCCACTGGTTGCCATGCTCTTTGTCCTCTAGTTTGGACAAAGAGGGAAAAAAAGATAAATCCTCCTTTGTAATGGAGTCAGCTGGCTGAGCGAACTGGGAGTGATTCCAACAATTTGCTTGAAGGTATGTGCACAGCCCATCCAGAACAGAGCAAGCTGCAAAATTGCAGGCCTGAGAGACAAAACCAAATTTTGCTCGAATGCTTTAGATGTAGCAGTTTCCTCAAAGATGATAGAGACAGAAGATTACAGAGAGTATTTATTCTAAAGGCTAAAATCAGCTTGCTTTGCCATCTTGGATTTTTAGATCCATACCATGGTGTGATCCCTATTTGCATAGTGATTTTCGCAAGTTCTTATTCAAGTTAATTCTTAATTATTCACTTGGTAGGTGATCTAAGGCCTCCTTCTGTGCACTCCTTCCTTTTCGCATTTCAGCGCTAAACAGAAGTGATGTTTTGATTATCTGTTCTTCTGAATGATCTATCTGGTGTACTGCTTGCCTCTGTTTGCGTGCAGGGAAATTAAGAGTAGACTTTGTCAAAACATTTTTGTCAACAGAAATCCTGGCCAGATGACTTGCAAAGGCATACCATTAACCACAAGGGGAGCAAGCCAAGAGAGTATGAATGAATGGATATAAGTTGATTTCCACTAGCCTGACAATAAAAACTATCACCACCATCACAACTACATTTTTAATTTTCAGAAATTATAAAGCCCTTTCTACGTAGTGTCTCATTTGATACCAATGCTGGGATGCACGCAGAGCTGGTAATATTCTCCCCATTTTACTGAAAAGAAACTTGGGCTCAGAAAGTTCAAGTGATTTGTTCAAGGTAGCACAGCTAGTGACCCAAGTCTCCTGCTCCCAATTGTAGTGTTTATCCCTCTTCTCCCTTCTCCTTCAGTGATATGCCTTGATCGCAATAGCTGCCTGTTGAAGGAATACCCAGTCTGCAAAACCATCTCCAAATTTCTCAATCAGAATCAATCTCTTCTACATTTCCGTAATACCTTGCTTAAACCTTTATTCCACTAACTACTGTAACTGTGTGACTCGGATGTCTATCTTATTCACAATGGACTCCAGACTCCTGGAGGGCAGAACTTATGCCCTATTTCATCACCAACATTTATTGAAAGTTTACCGTATGCCAAGTACAATGCCAAACGCTTTGCAGCCATCAAATTCTTTAATCCAAAACAACAAATCTGTGGCATAGGTACTATAATTATTCCCATTGGAAAATGCAAAAAGTGAAACACAGAGAGGATGGGTAACTTGACCAGCATCACACAGACAAAAGATGTCAAAGTTGGGATCCAAACCCAGGTTTGTCTATTCCAAACCCTATGCTTGGACCTCATGTTATCCCTCCCATGTTCTTCATGGTACCACCCCTGCCGCTATTACCTGGAGCCATGTTTGCACCAATAGGCACTCAAGAATTGTGTGTTGAAATAAATTAAAGAACAGATCAATGCTGTTCAATTCAGTTCAATAGTTTTGAAAGTACTGTCTTTATAAAAGAAGAAAAACAAGTGCAGAGTTGTGAAGAATGGGGGTGTGAGAAGTGTCTGTGTGTGTATGTGTGTGGTAAGTACAAAAGACAATGTTTGAAAGAAGTGCAGTTAATACTGTATACAAAGTTATATAAAAAAGGGACAGATAGAGGACAGAAGGTGGGACCAGTGAGATAAGAGCCTGGGAGATGGAAGTGTGAGAGACAAGTGGGGAAGGAGAGGGGACTTTTCTCTGGAAAGGACCACCACCTGGAAATCCTGTAATGGTAACTACTGGGAACTTGAATACATTAGATAATTCTGTAGTATCTCATAGTTTATAAGGCCACATTGCTACTGAGAGATAGAGATAGAGATAGAGATATAGAGATAGAGATAGAGATAGAGAGAGCACGCCTGCCCTTCTCTCTTTTCAAGATGTTTATAATCTCAACCTGAAGTTACGATGGTGGAAGAAAAAGCTCAGACCTTTAGGTTCTCTCAGTTGAGGGTAGGTTTCTAATCCATGTTGTCATCCACATCCCAAACAGTTTTCATAGTAATAACTAAGAGTGACTCTTGAGCCATGCCGTCATGTAAATGCCAAAACTGCTTTGAATAGTAGTTACTGTATTTTCAAGTGTTTTATAAATTGATGATATGGTATCCAGTTGGAGTGACTATATTTTGAAACTCAATTTACTTGTCAAGATTGCTTCAAATGTTATGTCCCCAGTCTTTTTTTTTTTTTTTTTAAGATGTCTTTTAGAAATAGGCAGAGGTCTACAAGTTACAACCTGCTTTGAATCCTAAGGATTGAGAGTCGTCAATTATCTGACACCAGAAGGGAGATCAGGG